AAATGAATTGTATGACTAGATTGAGAGGCGTCAGTTTCTAGCGTGCACCACAGTTAATTAACACGTGCTTCTAAATTTAAATAGTGGTTATTAAATGCATTTTTTTTTTTCATTTCATTTATTGGCAAATCGGCATAATAAATGCCTTTGACCATTTACACATACTAATACACATGGTCAAGACATACAGTATACATAAAAGATACACAAATAACTACACATTTAATCTTTACATAATAAATAATCACCAAATATCAAACATTAACAATTTTTTAACTCACAAAGGTAATAAGTCCTACGAAGCAGCATTATTTTCAAGGGTTAGACTTCTCAATTTATAAGCTTCTGTTAAAAACTTTGCATTTTTTACAATACTAGTTCTACGTTTTGATGACATAATATTAATGAACTTTTGTACTGAAGGCCAAGCATTATTTGTAAAATATTTCTGTCGTAGGTCATAATATTTATTACAACATAATAAAAAATGGTACTCAGATTCAACGGATTGTGATGGACAAAGTTTACATATACGATTTTGTCTTTCAATGCCAGTATATCTACCTACTTCAATTTCGAGATTATGTGCTGATATTCTAAATTTAGTATATAGCTCTCTTTGTTTACTATTAGTCAAATTATCTAGATATTTTTCATAACAAAAATCAACTTTAAATTGTGTATAGTATTCAAGTTTAGCTACATTACGAATATCCATTTGCCAGTTTTGGATATATTGATCGCGTAGTCTTTGTTTCAAAATACAAAAATAGTTACAGGAAGAGTCAAAATTTGACCATATATCACTGAAACCTAGACTATCAAGTAAATTTTTAATTTTATTTGACCAAGAATTTGCGTTCTGGGAATTATATTGCTCTCTAAAATTGTATACATAGGCATGTGTTGATTACTCATTATTTTTATCCAGTATTTCAATGCCCCCTCTTTCATTAAAACTGATAAAGGGAAACGACCCAATTCACCTAAAACTGCTAAATTTGAAGATTGTGTTCGGACCCCAAGAATATGTTTACAAAATTTTATATTAAGTTTATCTATTTCCTTAAATTCATAAATGCCTCAAATCTTCGAGGCGTACAATAAAATAGGTAGAACCATAGAGTCAAAAAGTGAAAGTTTCGTTTTGATATCAAGATTTATTCTAGTAAATAATGACAAGAGGCAATTATATGCTTTGAGAGCTTGGTCAGAGAGCACCTTAACAGCATTTTTCATATTCCCAGTGTAAATAAAATTTACACCTAAATAACAAAAATTATCTACAATTTCTAATTTTTCACCATTTATAATTACTTTATTTAGTACTATAGGCAAGCTATTTACTAATGTGGTGAATAAACGATTAAATTGTTGGGCCGAAGATAATAATGTGTATATTGAAGCACAGGCAGGCTTCCGAAAAAATATGGGAACGATTGATTTATTCTACATGGATTAATTAATCATACATGCTTAACAATAACAAAAAAACTTTTTGTAGCCTTTATAGATTGTACCAAGGCATTTGATTTTGTTGTACGTGATATAATATGGTATAAATTACTTAAGTTAGGCATTAGAGGAAATATATTAGATGTCATAAGATCAATGTATAATAATGTTAAATCTAGAGTTAAACATTTGAATACAGTTAGCACTGATTTTCATGCATGTTGGGCGTTCGTCAAGGAGAATGTTTTTCGCCTTTTTTATTCTCAATGTACTTAAACGACATTGAGGAGCATTTTGTATTACATGGATTTGATGGTGTAAACTTAGATATGTTCAAACTTTTCCTTTTACTATATGCTGATGATATTGTGATTTTTGCTGAAACCGAAATTAGTTTACAAAAAGGTTTAGATCTGTTATTTGACTATTGTATGAAATGAAAACTAACAGTTAATGTTGAAAAAACAAAGGTAATTGTATTTAGAAAAGGCGGCACAAACAGAAGAAATATGACTTTCACATATAATGTCACACTGTATTTTTCTTATTTAGGTATTACATTTACCACAGGTGGTTCTTTTAGCGCAACGCACGAGGCATTAGCGGGACAGGCGTTGAAGGCAATATACAAACTCAAGTCTTATTTAGTTAAATTCACTAATATTGATGTTAAGCACTCCTTAGAAATATTTGATAAGTTAGTTGTTCCTATTATATGGGGATTCAAAGAAACAAATGTTATAGAAAGAATACATTTACAATATTGTAAACAACTTTTAGGAGTACGTGCCCAAACCCAGAATAATTTTGTCTATGGAGAATTAGGTCGAACAAGTTTACTTTCTAATAGGCTAATATGTATAGTAAGATACTGGTTTAAGATATTAGAATGCGAATGCACAAAATATATAAGACATGTATACGATATGATGTTAAGAGACTTAGAAATGTATCCTAATAAGATTTCATTTGTAGTAAAGGGGAGACCATTATGATTTTTTTATTAAATAATCAATAACTATGGTGGCTGATTTGTGCCATGTCGTTTTTTTTTTCGCTATGCGGGGCGCCAAACGAAAACACGAAAATATGAAAGGATGAAACGAATTTTTGCTCAGCGGGGTACAAGCCCAACATGAGATCAAAAATTAGGAATGTAACCTTTAAGTGTATTTCACCTTAACCACTGAGAGCGTCAATGATTATAAATCTACTGAATTTACGTCGATTATCTACATGTATTTAGAAATATTTTCCTCAAAACTTAACAATACTGAATAACACTGATTTAAGTTTGAAAGCCTGTTCCAGTTAATTTCTTCATCAGAGGGACTGGGTAAACAATAAAAGCATTGAACGGTTAACATCAATTAATCCCAGTGCACTTTGTCGTTCATTTACTGTGATTTTATTTAGCATAAGCAGACATTTTGTCGGAAATTGCAATTTCACGGTGTATTTTTCTCAATGATCTGCATGTCTGTATTATAATGGTAAAGAACTTAAGTCATATGTAACATCAGTTAGCAAAGAAGAGGCAAAATCAAAAGACTTAGTGCTTTTTTGAGAAAAATAATTTGTTAAATAAAAGTTGGTTTGGTCCCCTATTCACTAAGATCTAACAATCAAATTCAGGAAAAATATTATTACCCTCTCTTAATTTAAATTATATCATGTCGAGAGTAAATCAATTATTCTGTAATCTGCTACAGCAAAAAACAACGACAAATACGTAGGAATAGCGCTTAATATTTGGTAGTACATATTACAAATCAGTAGAATCAATCGGTATTTTATTTATCTGTATGTGTTATGTTCTTGTATAAGGGATTCATCAGATCATCGATAACATTTGTTGCTGTATCCAAAACACTGAAACGAAACTATATCTGATCTGAACATGTGATAACAAAAATTTACAAACGGGGTATTATCATTGTGTTATCTGTAGAATATTTGATAACAAGTTATGCTAAGTAAAAAAAAAGCAAATTCCTTGATTTATGCAACTTTAAAAAAATATATTTCAAAGCAATTTCTTGTGTGTCACGTGCAGATAATGTAATTAGTGTGTATAAAACATTTATTACAAAAAGGTGTTGTGAGAAGATATGGGGTCGGGCTGGGGTGTATTTGAACAAGTACTTCGATATACTACCAAATGAAAGCGTCGAGTAGAGAAAAACCGCGAAACTCTACATATATTCCCTACTAACCCGCGAAATACACTTGCACAGTAAAAAGTAAATACTTAAGGTATCACTCCATATTTAACTTAAGGTACAGAAACCATCAACGCACATTTAAACTATATATCCGACACGAGAATTATTTCTAATATATCCTAATCTTGATCCTAAAATTGATCCTATTTGTATGATTATTTCATGAATTTTATCCAAAGATAGAGTTGGTGGGGTTTCTTTTGCATTTCGTTTATGTACCATTTCATTTTAGTTTAATACAGTCAACTTTACTTTCAAAAAGCAGTTAAAATAAGAGCAGAATTATTTGAACCCTGATCCAGATTTGTAAAATTGAGACCTCTCGAAAGTGGAGATTGCTGGTTTAAACATATTTTTAACCTCGATTGCGAAACAAATTCTTGTACCTTATATTAATCACTTTCGAGTCCGCTCCCTGGAACCAACCAGTACTGGTGTCATATGAAAAAAACATGGTCGTGACCCGATTAGGGCTCGAACCCATGATCCCTGGGTTGAGAGGCAGGCACCCGCTAGGCCAACGCTCCCCCTTTGGAGAATACTCGGGATCAATGAGTTAAAATATATACCAGAGATACTCAGGAGATAATGGGATGAGCAACAATCTTCACGTGTCTATCAACAGTACTATTATGACATGGATAATCCATTAATAAAATTATTGAAAAAGAAAGCAAAACAATATTTTAGAAGAGAAATAAGACTAACTTACTCAAGTAAGTATGAATAAACTATTATAAAAGATATAGCCATTCGTCATTGTTGCGTTCTTCTTTTTCACTATTTACAATAATTTTGGATCAAGTTTTGACACAGGTCAAAATATATGCAAAATATAACTAGAAACTTTCGATAAAAAAAAATATTGACTGTTTTGTAAATGTTATAATAAAGTGACATTACATTTGTTATTTTACGGTAAAACTTTATTTTAAAGTGACTTTCCATACTATGATGATAATAAATACCACTGTCAACATTGTTGTTGTTATTGTTGTTGTTTATGATGTTGTTGTTGTTGTTGTTGTTGTTTATGTTGCTGCTGCTGCTGGTGAATATTATTTTTGCCGTATTTGTTTCTCTTGTTTCTCAGATTTATCTTTCACTATAGCTTGATATACGGATAGGAAAGAATCGGATTACGTTGATCACGTGCTAGTCGGTGTTTACAAACAACAATGTTAATTTATGATCAGAACACGTGCGCACCGACTACTTGTACTTGTATGTTGTTTTGTTTTAAAAAAAAACACTTTCACATTATATTCGCACAAAATATTTACAAACATTTAACGTATTTTAAAATGTCTCTCATTGTATTTAAATTTTATACAAATATTATTCATTTTTGTAGTAAAGTAGTAAAGTATGAAGTACTATGTTTTATGTTTCATTTATGTTTCAATAGAGAGCTATCATATATCAACATATGTTGTTGTTTTTGTTGTTGCTGTTGTTGTTGTTTTTAGGCGGATTTACAAATTAAAAACAAAGATAGGAAATTAGGATAAATAATAAAAACGAAATTCCAAGACACATAGAAAGAAATTGGTACATCCAGGAATTTCAGACATTAGCACAATATTTACATTTCTTGATGACTCACGCTGTGTTTGGAGAATCTACAACAATGGGGAACTAATCAATTTTAAGAAGAAAACTTGTTTTTTAATATAGTTAACGATGTTTTAAATTTATCTTAACATTCGTCTGGTAAAGAGGAAACATGGTATGATGTTACTGGTAGCTACAGGATGTATGCACTGTTTAACTTAAACATCATATAAATGTTAGATGAAGCATAATGAGGTAACCTAAACAAACCAAACTTAATTTCCGAATGAAATATAACATTATGGTATATGAAAGTTGATAAACCAAATTATATTTTAAAATATTTTACTTCGTATCAAACTTAGTTCGATTTTAATAAACATTTTATTTCGCATAAATCGCATTTGACAATCTGTTAGGTATTTGGTGAACTTAAAAGTGGAATATATTAAGTGTAAAATAATAATATTATGGAATTAAAATACATGTGTAAATATGAAATCCAAAATATTATTTTCATGAAAGAAGTAAGTCAAGGGATGTGACTGCAAAAATACCGCAGACATGGTTAGTATAATTTTATTTCCTTGTTAGACTGAAATTCATGTTTAATGTACAAAGTAATTATCTTAAGTATAGGTTAAGTATAAGTTTATTGGTACGTATTTACAAAATTAAATTGGTCAGGCGCGGCACAGCCTCGCGACTTTAATTTTGTAAATACGTACTGATAAACTTTAACCAGATAAGTGTTATTATTTTTGTAAACAGTCTATTTACTAAACTGATTCACAGTTTGCCGATTTACCAATATAAATGTGTTACGATTCATTTGAAATACATGTATAGCAATCCTATTGGACAAAAAATAATTTCAGACACTAACTTAATTAAGAATAAAAAAGTTAATATTAATTCATATAGTTTACCATTATTCTATACTTTGTCGTATTCGGCCATTTGTCCCTTCTTTTAATTGTCGTATTCTATCAAATGTCTTTCGACGTAATGCCGTGCACCGGTTTACCACTATTAAACATTAAGATATTTTGTAAGCTTATTATTAATTTCATAAATTTCTTTAATTAGGTCCTCGCCTTCTTGAAATTTACAAAAATTAGCAAACATGACAGCAAGTCACGTTTTGTTAATAAATAATTTGATTCAAGACAGAAAAAGATTTTCTATGTTTTTATTATTTTATTTTTGAACAAATTGAAAATCCCATTTTTCAGGAATTTAAGGCGACTATATCACTAATATTAGTGATATTAAACATAGGAAGGCAACATGTGTTTTCACCGGTGCCTACCGACAACTTACAGTTTCGGCGGGAAAATTGTGAATGGGGGTGCGATTCAAACATTGATACAAAATTGAGACTTTGTGAGACACTTTGTCATCTAGAAACTGTTAACAACAAATATCAACATGATCATGAAACTCAATGTCAAGAAATCTGTGCAATAAAATATTTAAAATGCTTGGAAGGATGTAAAAATATTATGAGCAACATGGAGAGCTAACCAAAATACAGTAACACTGTACTTGAAAAGTAACATGTGATTTAGAAATAATGAAAGGCATTTGTAAATATGCAATTATCTAAAAACTTAATTTATGAACACTCCACATGTTTAATTGGAAAATAAAAGGGAGGTTATTTTAAGAGGTTCAAAATATGTAAAACATATACATAGATTTAAATAATAATTAATAAGTACAATTTACATGTTGTAATTGCAAAATAAATTAACATTCGTTGTTCCGGTTTTAATTCTTTTAATTCCTCTTTTAAATGAAAAAAATTTTAACAGCCATACAAATCATCACATACTGCAAGATGAAGTGCAGGAAAATTATTTTGTAATATAAAAAATAAAATGATAGCAAATGTTCTTTTTTCTAAATTAATGTCAATTTCTTTTTGCTACTTTATACTTGTATTAGTCTTGATCTTTGTTACTGTGAATAGTGTTTAAACATGTTTTCGAAATGCTTAAGAGAAGCGCAGTTTCTTATGTTAACAGAACTTGTTGTTCAACCATTTTATCACTTCACCGCTCATATCTTTGTATATATATTGCTGTATATTTCAAAGCTAAACATATTATACATTTATATTTCCTAACTGTTATTTGTGCAAAATGTGCAACATACAAGAATAAGCTTTATTAAAAATACACATATTTCAAAGTTTCGATGTCTTGGTGTCTTATAGTTAAATTTAAATTTAACAACAAGACCACTTTTCAGAAACAACTAATTTTTGTCATTCTAATATATGAACTATAACCTATACTTGAAATTTGTTTATCCTCAACAACATGATATCTGTTTTTTATTGAGAAAGTTTTTTGTCATTGTCATATTTTTACATATATATAAAATAACATTTTAAAAAAATGAATTATGAATATCTTTTCGCTAATTTATTACAAGTTTATATAAGTAATTATATTGTATTAATCAATATAATATATCATTATGTGATTATATTTACACGTCAAAATAAAATTATACTCTGTTCCGTCTTTTCTGTTATGTTATATTATATTCCAAAACATATTTTACATAAATGTCAGACACTACCATACTTTCAAAAATCATTATACATCTATGCAAATGTGCTAGACATAATTTGATTAGAAAACATTACATGGAAAATATCTAAAAAAATATCTCGAATACCTTTTTACAAACTTTTTACTAAAAAGTATAAAATACGATATATTTGCAACATATACTTTAATGGTTACTTGTAATTGTAAGTAATCAAGTACAATCAAGTATATCATCATCATCATCATCATTATGTTTATAATCATCATCAACAAAAACAACATTTTTTGTGTACTATTGTTGTTGTTGCTGCTGTTGTCGTTATTATTATTATTATTATTATTGTTGTTGTTATTGCTTAACCGGATTTGTATACCTTTTGTCTTTTTCAGCTGAACATTATTTTTATAATTTTAACATTTTGTATCATTGTTTCAGTTATTGTGATATTTTATTAGCGCTTAGTTTGTATGGTCACGTGTGTAACTTTACTGTTAAAATCATTATAAATTATGTTTTCTGGTTTAAACTTAAAATCTGTTAATTCTCTTAAAGGTCAAAATCAAAATAACTTTATATTTTGCCCTTATTGTGTCTAGTACATGTGTATCTAGGAGACGGCCCCCTGAATTTTCGTACTATATATCCTATAGTAAATGCATCATATTTAAGGCTAACTTCTGGACAAAGCATATCCGGTACCGGAAATTCATGGCCATTTGTTTTAACACCAATGCAGTCCAAGTAAATTTAGCACACAATAAAGTTTCCTTTTAAAAGGAAAGGCTTGCACAGTTGTGCCTTCATAAAGTGTTTATTTAGTTTGTTGTTTTTTTTTGTAAAAACGAATATTTTTTGTCAAAACAATTTGAAATCTATTCTCTACTGTATTGTATAAAACTTGTAAAGAAAATAATCAATCATAAAAATACTAACTATTCTATCATTCTGAAAAGGAAACAAGTGTGAACATTTCATTTCCAGAGAAATCATTCGTTTTGGCAGTTTCTAATTTCATTTATATAGCATCTTTATGGACAAGTAAATGCACTAAAATACTTCGTTACGTGGTACCAATTAATAAGGTCAGACACTCACATTGATATTTCCATAGACTTACATTATAAGAAATTGTCCCTAATCCTACCTTAAAATTGAGTTTTCATGCTAAAGAGGTAATTTTTCTAGCAGAATGAAATGCCTGACACATAAAAATGTTCCTGTTATATAGGGGTAGCCGACCAAATTTTTTGCAAAATGACTTCAAAGAGGATTACCCCCCATTTCATTGAAATTTTCTGCTGATCACAGGACTGACATACACTTTTTATAAATGCAAATATCCAAGTCAAAATTATCACAGAGACTCATGAAATATTTCATTTTCTTCAGAAAACAATGTAGTGTTACTTTTTAAATTAGTTTTTATACTTAAAAATACCCCACTTTCATCCAATCACCTCATGTATAAATTGACTCATACGGTTTTCCCTGCACTTTTTTTCAGCCAATCGCTGGCCGTGTTACAATGCGTTACCCTGACCATAAGCATGTATCAACTATGTTACACAACCACAGATACGGTAAGGTTAATGATATGCATGGGCTATTTTTAGATTACCTCACTGCGTTCATTAGATCTAAATATAACTCGATCATGCACTAATATTCTCTGTGATTTGGTAAGCAAGACCACCCTTTGGAGACGTAACCATCCTCTATTGTATAAGGTATATATGTTAATTAATATACAAAACTAATACAGACAAAAACAATTATAAAAGAAACTAACTTTTGAGTCTTGAAAAAGAATTGAAACGTAACAATTTCGTTTATAATTTATTACGGTTTAAACCGATAAATCAAGTAAAAATAGAAATCCTATTTATATAAACAAACTGGGATTACCGAAGTAACTAAAATAGCTTAGATTTCCGTAATATTACTTCGTCTGATTCCGCAGTATGACGGATTCGCCCGAATTGTCACGATTGCAATCGGAATTACATCGGCTATAATCATTAAACCGAAGAGTGACGGAAAGGGCCAAAAAGTTGCGATTGGCACGATTGCAGTTGGTTTCTCGTTCAATCATGCACTAACAAATGTAAGCAGGAAACCAACAAGTTTTCCAAAACAAATGGGCTTGCAGCCGTGGCTGCAAGCCAAAAATAATACATTAGCCCGTGCAGTTTTTCTGCAGCTTTTAATTTCTGTAATCATTATAGAATATTCCAAATAGTACTCTCCTGCGTATCCAAATAGTAACTGGTGTGTATTCTTGTGCATAGTACCTCCTGATATGAAACCTTCCACCCAGAAATGAAATCCTGCAAAAATACATCAAAAACAACCTTATAAGTACTCAGAATAAAAACTTAATGTACACAATTACTAAAGATATACTTAAAATATAACCAGTATCAATTGTGAAGACTTGAAATAGGCCATTTCAAAATTTAAAAGAACTACTTTCTAGACGGACTGTGTCTAATTCCGTACAGGGGTGACACCGTACAATCAAAATTCCTCCTGATTCACAGAAAAAATCTATAAGGATACTTCGGGGAATATCGTTAACGTTCAATTGATAAACGAATGGAATAGTCTTTTTGGTATTTCAAGCTGTTGTTATAAAAAATTCTAAACATTTTTCATTGTATGTTATTGGGCAATGGTCATCATATTAGTCAATGGTTTAAAATATATTACTCAGTTCAGCTTGACAGCATAATGTAAAAGGATGAAAACTTATCACGAAAATGAATGCTGAGAATATGTAAAAACATCTATATACATTAAGCACATATAAACATAATAAGACCCGATAATTGGGTTACGGAGAAACCTTATATCACAAAATCTAATACAATCATGATACCGATTAATCTTAAAAAGTTTACAACATTTTAATGTGTTTTGAATATATTTCGTATGTTTGCATTCTTTCAGGGTGAAATCATTTCAACTTTTTTACTTTCTTTACAACACGCATATATTTATGTATATATGTTGGGACAACAAAATCAAATTTCTGAGATCTCCGAATGCTAAAATATCATAAGTGAACTAATACATAAATATCCAGTATTATATTTCTATATATAGTGCAATATAATATAAAGCGATTATATATCAACAATATGTAAAGGTTTAATCTTTAGCGTTTAGATAAAATCATTTAGAAACAGTAAGAATTTTTACATTGGGGATTATAAGAAACTGCCATTTATTCACCACCAGTTATACAACATTGCATGAATGATGAAACTTATATCATTAAAAACAGTTACTCATATCATGTGACATTTAAACATTGTTACAGAATTCGGCCCATGTAGGCGGTTGAGTTACAAATAACAATGAAATTATGTTGTTGTCAAGTCATTAAAATAACTGTATCTTTAGCGCAGAAATACTTCACCATAAATAAAGGTCGCGCGTGGGTAATATAAAGTTTACTTCACTGTATAAAAATAACTAAAAAGACCATTTTAAATTTTGTAATTCTATTGGAAAAGGATTAAGTTGTAGCAATTTTGTATAACTTTTTATATATAAAGCAATATTACGGAAACATTAAAGGACCTGCTTTTAGTGCGATCACGTGGTGTAAGACGACTGTTTTTGTTCAATAAGATCAGGTGTTTTAATTTAACACAAATATATCCATTCTATTCACAAAGACTAGAACATTTTTGTCGTTCTTAGTAACCTTTTCTGAAAATGCGTAAGTTCTTTTTGTCTAGGCGATTTGTTTTAAAATGACAAATGTTTTTCCAAAAGAAGAAAAGACACCTTTTTGCCAAGACAAAAACTTCAAGCATATCTAGAAAGAATTCGGAGAAATAAACGTTTGTTTTTAATATTTGTGAATTAACGAAATTGATAAAACGTCTAATTAAATGGAATAAAAATCAGTCGATTTACACATCATGATCTTACTTATTGGAGGCCTTTTAAGGTTTCCGTACAATATAGATAATCTTCCTATTTCGTTTCCAACATTTGGCGTTCTTTTAAATTATAAAAACACTATACAGATTTCCATCCTTCAATGTCTTCAATTCTACGAAATTGACACTTTGATGATTTTCAGCTCAGCAAACTCATACTAACTTTCGTCCGTCACCCGTCGTTCGAAGTCAACTTTTACTTTTAACAACATACCTTTTATAATAACGTCCATGCTTTGTGTTTGTGCCCTCTAATGTAATACTGGGCTCTTTGTCAATAGTCCCGTGATGCTTGATTTTGTTGGGGTGTGTTCATTGATTGCCGCTCTTCCATGATGATGTTAATTTGGCTGCGAAGCAGTCAAGTCTTATATGATTTTGAATAAGACGCATTATTTACTGCGGAATGACAAGATTTATTTTGCGTGTCAGCAATAAAATACAGTACAAATAAACATCAGCTTTACACTTTATGACCAATTTTAAATTTCTGGATTTGTTACAAAACATTTTATTTATATTTTATTTAAATGGAAAGACAATGTTTTCTTATTTCCTTATACAAAAAGTGGACTGTGCAACTGTCTATAGAATATTCTTTAGGTGGCATTGCACAAAATAACTTTAGAGCTAAAAAATTTAAATAAGCTTTGAAATACCTCACCCCGGAAGCAAACAAAGCATGTTATACTCGAATGAACTGAAGAAATGAAGAAAACACTTCAAAAATAAGTTCTAGAGCGGCAGGAGCACTCACGACTTTCAGAAATTGGCACAATGTTGATAATTCAAGCTGTGTTTGAAAATGTAAATGCACAACAATAGGAGACTAATCAATTTGAAGAAGGATACCAGCGTGTTTATCAGGATTTTAATCCATCTTAACATTGGTCTGGCAGTCATAGTTAAGAAGAAAATGTTGTATGAAATAAAGGGTAGATTACACTAGTTAACGTCAATACGGCTTTGTTATGATACATTTTATTATAATTCAATTACGATAACACTACATCAATAATGTTGATAAAGCTTCACTTAGGGGATTGATTTATGAATAAGTATCTATACCTCAGTAGGAATTCTTAATAAAAAATCAAATATGTAATTCAAATCAGTAGGAATATGCTTTAGTATAATTTTCACAACAAAAACATGCTCCTGCAATTTCGTGCACATGTCATGAGATGAGTTAAAAATGCATTGTTACTTTTCTTATTTTAAGTTAAATTCAAATTTTACTATGTCAACACCGCAATGGTTGCAGGTATGATTTAATCACGTCTGCATTGTTTACTCTTAGAATTAAGGAAATAGAAATAATAGTTAATTAGAAAAACTGTTTTTGATCTCTATCAAAGTTTTTATTCTTATCTAGAATATAAATGTCTATAAATGTTGTGATATATTTCCTGTTACATAACAGAAATTACTGTAATGTTTTTTATTCCCTCTAGAATGTTTTATCTTGGTAGATATAAGAATTGTCGCATCATCTTGTAGGGATTCATTAAATATCAGTTATGGACATTTCATGACAATGTTGCAGGTAATTAGTGACCGATTAAGGAACGTGACAGGAAAATTAAAGTGTTTGTTGTTGTTGTTGTTGTTGTTGTTGTTGTCTTATAAAAATTGTAAATGGTCAAAGGCATATTACATGCCGATTTTGCCAAATAATCTTGTATTAAAATACCAAAGCTTATAAACGACACACGTTTCAAAGTAAGTACATTATTCCTCATTTATTTAATGACTGGTCGTTTTATTTAAAGCAATTCTAAATTTTTAAACGTTATACTGGTATTCTCAAAATCAGACGAAGCGCTTATAAATAATACACATTGTATTAACAGGAACTGGAAGAAGCATGGTAAAACATAATTTGCGCATTCCGTTATCTTATTAAGGTTTTTAATAAAGTTTCTGTTACATCAGGTAGGAACAGATGTTGATTCATTATGATTAAATGTAAGGTTTGCTTTTGTATCTTTTACTTTTTATTTATGATCCATTATTTTTTTTATTTCATTTTTTATTTATTTTATTTTATTTATTTATTTAGTTCTTTTTTTTTGGGGGGGGGGGCGGTGGCTGGGTTTTAGTTGTTTTATCTTGTTGTTTGGGTTTTGTTTTGTTGTTGTTGTTGATTTATTGTTGTGTATTATTTTTTAATCTAGGTGTTTTACAGCTATTTATTGAGAAAATCGTATTTACTATAAATCGAGATTCAAAAAATAAGTTAAGATAAATTATATGTTATTGTGGGTGGAAAGTATGACATTCAATCAATATGTCCTTTACACTGTACGTCATGATATAAAATGAACCCTGTTAACAAAACACTGTTTTATGTGTTGACATCCGAGTTATTGTATATCTTCATATTTACAAAAGTACAATTTTATCATCTTTTACCATTATGATGAATTACCCGGAACTCCCCAACTGTAATTGTCTCTAAATTGTTATCAGGAGTTATCATACTTAAAATGTTTCAAATTTATGTAAATGACATGTTTATCAAACAAATGTCAGTCTAAAAGAGAGATGTACGTTGTTTCTAAATTTCAGCTTATTTACGTATGATGTTTCGTATATATTATTCTCGTACATATTGAATATATAACACAATACTGCCATATATATCTCTTAGTGTGGACGTGCAAACATCTTCGAAGGACTCAATGAAAATGGTAAGAATTTTTTAATATTTGTGTATCTTGTCATTAGCACATAAAAGTAAATTTCACCGGAAAATGTAAATTCTTATTGATAAATTTAAGTTAAAGGTGTAAATTAAAGAAAATAAAAGTAAATAAGTAAATCAAGATAGAATTTGTTCTTTATCGAAAAAAATACATGATACTATTTTCCATCAATGCAATGACGGTCTCGCAAGTTTTCTACTCTAATGTCATCATTGCATTATGAAATTAATTTATACAACAAGGTATTTTTTCTATTGTATTATGGAATTTAACTATACAACAAGGCATTTTTGTATAACAAGCATATTGTCTACAAGTTAGTTGAAGCTTGTTACATAGATCTACGACTTTTTCGGGACTGAAAACGTCCGCGAAAATATGCCTACAGCCAAAAGCACTAACTTAAAAAGTCAGTGAACAGTATCAATAGTTTCTCTTGTTGTTATACTTTTGTAAGTTTCTATGGCTATATTGTGTATCTATGGTTGTTAACGTGTATCTAGTGTTGTAACCTGCTATTAGTTTATATAGTTGTTATACGTTTCTATGGCTTTTACATGTATCTATGGTTGTTACATGTTACATGTTATAAGTGTATATTGTTTCCGTAGATTTTTATGTTTGTTATATGTTTATATGGTTTTATGTATCAACTTTGGGAAAACAACATTGTTTTCTTTTTTATAATTCGTCAAATACAGATGGCTGTTAGAGCGTTTGGTTTTCTACTCATAGCGATTGTAACACAAAGTGGCGTGGAGGGACTGGATCTGAAGGATGGGGGACTTTTAAGAAAACTCTTGACACAGAGGTCTGAATCCGACAAAGCCTGTTTCACGGACCCTTGTCACGATTTTGATGTCACGGAGTGTGATCTTGAATGTCACGTTACTTACATGGAGGACTCTTACTATGAAGTTTTATATCATGGGTGTCTCGTGCAGTGTGCTGAAGATTATATGTATTGTAAATATGAATTGGATTGCGACATTCCATGATTAAGTTCTTGAAAATTAAAAAAAAAACAAATCATACTTAGTAATGTGTTTTCTATAAAAAAAATTAACAATTCTATGTTTAGGCTTTGTCAGTTTTCAATAAAGATATTGTACATATAATAAGATAGTTAAAATTCGTCATAATTCGCATCATTCCTTGTTTTGTGTAAATTATTGTAATGACGTTAACCCAACTTAGCGTAACAATGAAAAAGTAATAGGTGTTACTATGAGAAAACAACGAAAACCGACAACGTATAAAGTACAAAAAATGTGATGTTCAAGCCTTTATCAACTCTAAGTGCGTATGATTAGTCTTTGAACTTTGAACTTTTATTTTCAAATTCTAGGCCTCTGAGAGGCATCAGAACACAACATATTAAACATGAACAAATGACGTAATACAAATTTGCTATATAACATGAACAAATGACATGATACAAATTTGCTATGACTAGATAAACAGAAAATTATCATATCAGACTAAATTTGAGAAATATCAGACAAAATTTGAGCAATATCAGACACTGAGCCATTTCTAACACATAGGAAAATTTGCTATATAACATGAACAAATGACCTGATACAAATTTGCTATGACTAGATAAACAGAAAATTATCATATCAGACTAAATTTGAGCAATCTTCAGTACAGGTGAGATAGCGGTGTCGTATGAGTTTCGCAAGTACCATGAGATATGCAAGTACGCATGCGCGAAAATGTTATTTTCTAACGCACGGTACAGAAGTTTTTCACTTTTCTGCCTTTAAATATATCATGTCATTACATGACGAGTACTCAATTGATTCGGTTTGGTCCGTATTTAATACTTAAATATACCTTCGTGTAATATTTGTAGGATATAAAGGATATAGAAGCACGTCAGAATAGCAATGGTCTGTAACTATGTAAAGTGTGGTAATCTTCTTAAAGGAAATTTGTCTAAGAATGTTTGTTATTAAGTGACTAATTTAACATTGTTAGCGGGAAATGTCCCTGCATTTTTTTTTCTTTTTGACTTTGAGGTATGTATTGGTTTTGAAATAACATGATTGATTTCAATATCTAAATTTTGGTCAAAGTGTACATATCATAACATGTCGTTGTCCCGGCGTGAAGTTTAACATAATTGGGAAAGAGACATGTTTTGGAATTTAATGTTGTTACTTTCTTGGAAATATAAGATACATATATTAGCAATAACACTAGGTTGGTGATAATATTATCAGGTCAGTGAACAATTAATGGAATTAATGTAAGAAAGAAGCACTTGTTTTACTCCCAACGTTATACTATTGCTCTTAGCAACAGTATGCGCTCGTTTCAGTTAAAATAGAATATTGATCTGTTGTCCTCTGAGATATTGCATGCTGTTCATCATTTTGACTTTGTATGTTTTATTTATATAATGTTTTTGCTCCTGTATTTGTAATATATGCAAACTGAGCTGATATCAATAAACGAAACGAAACGATTTACCGGATTGCTGCCCTACGGCCATATATTGCACAGATTTGCCATTACTGTTTCAAAATAGAGGAAAACAAATTTAATCCTAGCAAACTCTGGCAAAACTTAAAGACTTTGGGATATAAAAATGACAACAAGAAATCTTCAAATATTGTATTATCAATTAATGGGGAAAACTGCCATGACGCTGATACTGTTTCAAATTATTTCAACGATTTTTTTACAAGTGTTGCTTCTAAACTTGTTGAGAAATTACCTTCAAGTAAAAAATTGTATGATTTAGGGTCTGAAAAGCTTTTCAATTTTTATAGTAAAAGAAATCCTGGATAGTTAATATTTTAAATCTACAACATGTATCTGAAAATTTTGTTTTTAAGGAACTATGCAACTTAAATGTTAGTAAAAGCACAGGATTAGATGGTATTCCTGCCCGATTTTTGAAGGATGGTTCTAGTGTTCTGAAAATACCAATTACTTACATTGTTAATCTATCTTTTTCTGAAGGTAAAGTACCAGATGAAATGAAGTTGGCTAGAGTAAAACCACTTTACAAGAAGAATAGTGTTCTAGAAGTTGATAATTATAGGCCTGTCAGTGTCAGTATTTTAAGTGTAGTTTCAAAATTTTTAGAGAAAGCTGCTTATGTTCAACTTGAAACATTTTTGGTTTCCAATAATTTACTGTATGAACACCAGTCTGGTTTTAGAAGGTGTTATTCTACAGATAGCTGTCTTATTCACTTACAAGATATTATAAGAATTAATACTAGTAAAGGGCTATACACAGGTATGGTGATGCTTGACTTGCAAAAGGCGTTTGACACCGTAGACCATGATATTCTTAGTGGAAAGTTAGAATTAATGGGTGTTCAGTCTATTTCCTGGTTCAGATCATATCTTTCAGAACGTTCACAAATTGTTAATATAGGAAATACTTACTCTAAATCAAACAGTGTGACCTGTGGCGTCCCCCAAGGTAGTATTCTAGGGCCGTTGCTTTTTCTGTGCTACGTAAATGATATGATTTTAAGTATTGATAATGATTGCAAGTTAATACTGTATGCAGATGACAGCACTATTTTATTCTCACATAAAGACCCGAATTTCATCTCAGAAAAACTTGGGACAGCCCTAGAAAGCTGTTCAGAATGGCTCGTAGACAATAAGCTGTCACTCCACCTTGGTAAGACAGAATGTATGCTGTTTGGCCCCAAAAGAAAATTACAAAAGCAAGAACAATTTACTGTTACATGTAATGGTCATAGCATAAAGGGTACTAATTTAGTCAAGTATCTTGGTCTATATATCAATAGTGATTTATCTGGGGAAACTATTGTTAATATAACATAATTTCTAAAGTGAATGCCAAGCTCAAATTTTTATACAGGCAGAGCAGACTTTTAGATACTAAAACAAAACAGCTTTTATGTTCAGCCCTGATTCAGTGTCATTTTGACTACTCTTGTTCCTCTTGGTATGAAGGTTTATCAAAACATTTGAAAAGAAAGTTACAAATTACTCAGAATAAAGTATTAAGATTTGTCCAAAACGTAACGCCCAGAACTTCTGTAACAGTGTATGAGTTTGAAAAATTGAATTGGTTAAATGTAGAAAACAGAGTCAAACAGTTAAGACTCAATCATATGTATAAGATTTTTTACAAAAAGAGTCCATCATACCTTAGAGCCGACTTTAGATGTTGTGCTGATGCAAGATTTTACAATACTAGATCAAGCAATTTTAATTTTATTGTCCCCCAGTGTAATTCTGTGATGAAACAGACCTTTTATTATAATGGAATTAAAGACTGGAATGATCTGCCAGAATATATAAAATCCATTAATAATTTTGTGCAATACAAAAAATCTGTTAAAAAGTACCTACTAGAAAGTTATAAAAGTCTTTCAGAAGATATATATGTGTACAACTAATGTGTTAGGCACTGTGATCAAATATTTCTGTGATAGTAATACTAGGCTTATTTTAAAAAGGGCATACTTTTATAAATATATTTCCTTTTTCAACCAAAATTTTGACCAAAGTTAGTTAGTTTAGTTTTTTATCTTGTTGTTTTTTGTTTGTTTTTTTTTTAGTGGGGGGAAAGGGTTAAAATTATGTTGTTTTTTTTATTATTTCTATGGACCCCATTGGAAATAAGCATTTAGCTTAATGGGCTATCCATAGGTGCATAGTACCTCTTATCTTATTTTATTTTTTATGACAAAAGTGTGCTCTTTTATGCTGTTTTATGATCTCATTTTATATTATATGATTTACATATGTTATCTCTTAACTGTATGATTTTATATTTTGTATCATGTGCTATGTTCCTAAAATGTATAAATAAATAAATAAATAAATGTCTGCGTTGTTTTCACATTCAGGTACAGTCATTGTATTTTATAAATAGAAATACAAAGAGTAATTTCAAAGACATTGACACGTAACGTTAGATAGTTTGGTAGGTATTTATTATGGCAACAACAATCATATTATATATATTTACAGCATGACTATAAAAATGGATTGATAAACTAAAACAAAATATTTAAAAAAAAAAAATACTAAAACTTCATTTGTATGTCACAATACTTTTTAAAACTCTCGTGTGTGTTTGGATCTGTAAATCACAATGAAACATCAAAACATTGTTTAATGACTGTATCTCATTTTACAGACAATCAATATAAATATACATTTTTTAATTGTAGTTTTTTTTCTGATAGATAAATGTTATATGTAAGTATATCAGAAATTAGAGTCTCTTCAAATTCATAAGAGGGCATGATGAACTGAACAATTTACAGAATGACATTTTTTCCTGTTAATATATGTTTACTAAACTCTATTCATGTTACTTTTTCTTTCCTTGAGCTGCAAAATTAAAGACTTGACCAGGTGCCGCGCCTGGTACAAAGGTTCCGGTTCCAAATGTCTGAGAACTGGGTCCTGAACCGCCAAAACCTGATTGTGTTAATCCGCCTTGTGTCAGACCACCCTGGGTAAGTCCACCCTGAGTCAGGCCTCCCTGAGTTAAACCACCTTGGGAAAGTCCACCCTGTGTCAGACCTCCCTGAGTTAAACCGCCCTGGGTAATCCCGCCCTGAGTTAGTCCACCCTGAAATAATCCACCCTGACCAGGTTGAGTGTTCATTCCTCCTTGGGTCAATCCACCAGTTCCAAACCCAGACTGAGTCCCCCCTGGTGTTCTAAAACCAGTCTGTGGACCGAATCCAGGCTGTGGTCTAAATCCAGGAGGAGACATTCCACCTGGGCCTCCGAACCCCATTTGTGGCGATCCTGTTTGTGGAAATGCAGGATTCATTCCAGAACCTGGAAATCCGGGATTCATGCCTGATGTAGGAAACCCGGTGTTTATACCAGGTCCGGTATTTGGCATACCCCCGTTGTTTATTCCTGTATTGACGAATGTATTTGTATTGAAAGGATCAATGGAATTGTACGGCATTATTCCAGTTGCAGCTGAAATTAAAAAGTCATACCCACATAAATAAAAAATAATATACGTTTGTAACTGTATTATTTGTTGTTTGAAGCAATATAATGTTCTATTAACATGCATGAAGACGAAATTGTTATAAATTTTCATGTCAAATACAATGTTATATTCTATAAAATTATATGTTATACCATAATATCATTTTAGAAAACGTACACGTAGCTTTTGCGTTCTAGCTTCACACATTTGAAAAGTTTTGACTTCTTTTATTGAGTATGTACTCCTTATGTATAAGGCGTATATTGTTATTATTTGATAATCATTCAATTATAACAATATTATCAAACTTATAATATCAAACTTACCCATGTCTTGTAGAGCAGCTGCAGACATTGGATTATACCAGTTTCTAGCAGTGGTTCGACCAATAGTACAACAAGCTATAGGATTATGGGTGTTTCCATTTACCCGACTTTCCCGAGAACCGCCCAGACCTAGATCATCTCGCTCCAACTTTATCTAAAAGTTTAGTTTATCTTCATTTTATTATTTTTTTCAATCAAAGAAGAAACGGCCATTAACTGTTCTCAGTAGGAAATCTTTGTTTTTCATTTAAATATAATGTAGATCTAATCTGAATTGTGCGTAAGACGGAAATCGTTACGAGCACACATAGCAAGTTTTAACATATCTTCATGTAATTGTTTCTAACTTCTAAACTGTTTAGCATGGAACAACCGTTCTTTATTTAAATTATTTTACTTTTTTAAATATTGATTCATTTCACCGGGGTTCTACTTTATCTCTTCAAATTTAATGTGATTGTATGATTATATCAATATCACATATCTTTCTAAACAAATTCAATTTAAATAATTTCTTTATATCATAGCTTCATACTCGTAGTATAAACTGAATATTTAGTAAAAAAACTATACTGAAGTAAACGATATTCTTACTGTAGGCGCTGAAGCTGGATGTATGTTACAATAAAATTGGTTCATTAATTCAGTATTACGTTCACAATTCCTTCATTATCATAATTTTTAAAGACCACCGGAAGTTGTAATTTTTATATCAGGCGTTTTAGAGCGTATAAGTAGGATCATTTTACAAAAAAAAAATGTAGTTTTTTTATAGTAGCTCTACATGATAATGATATAAACATAGATAAAGAACATTATACGTTGAATATGAAGAAGTTGACTGTACTATGTCTATAGTTAATACAAAATGAGGTAAGAATATATGATTAGACATTTTATATCGTTAAAGGAAGTTATTTAAGGTTATCAGTTATTTAATGACATAAAAAGTAACGGCCCTTTTATACGTTCAATTATTTTATTTATAATCAAATAGATAGTAGGAATTATTTACATATAATAATAATAATAATTACAAAACGTGTGTATTATAGACATATTTACATACGAGCATAATCTTCGATCTTTTATGCTTAATTTTATTATATTTTACATAAACATCCGTTGAAGGGTTTCATTATTATGGTAAAAATGATCCATTGGTTTGCAAATACAGTATAGAAACTATTTAGTATTTTGTAAATATCTTACAACGATACTTGTATCAAAATTACATAAACAACAGTCTTTCACAAAAAGCTAGTATCACTGTATGTTGATAATGATATTAAACTTACAACAAGCTTAAAAAGCTTTTCAAGCTTCCTACTAAATTCGTACAATTTATCATTCGTCAATTTTCATGATAGATAAATATTGTTTCAACTAAACTTACAACAAAAGCCCTGCCGACAACATTGTTTGACCCCTCTAGAGAGATGACCTGATCAACAAACTGTGTGGATACAAGACCAGCTGTAGATTGTCGTATATTACCCAGGTCACCAACATGTCTCAAACTGCAACATAAAATGTTAAAATGTTTGGTTGATATATGTATCTAGTGAGGAAGTATGGAAATTGTTAAGTAAATGAGCCATTTGTCGCATATTTAGCCTACTTAAAGCGCAATACGCAACAACCGAATTTATAGATGACAACAGCGTAACATAACATTTTGTATAAATATTAATAAGCCGTTTTTCCAAATGTGAAATACCGTTACATAATATAATAACTTTCATTTCCTTACAATGCAAAGTTTCTCTGTGATCCATGGGGAGTTTGGTTTGGATTGAAGTGAGGTCCTACCCTGGCACACCCGTCTCCGGTATCTCCGAATTCATGGATATGTATACCTCGGTCAGCTTCACTCACTGACTGGGGTAAACCTGATACTTGTATACGGATCTGAACCTGCTGTCTACCTTCACCTATCAACTATACAGCATGAAGAATTTTGTGAGAATATAAATATGCTTCAAAACTATCAATATGTCGCAAGGTTAAATAATACTGGTGGAACAGAAACAAACTCTGGGCGTAGGTTCGATGTTTGATTAATTTATCCAAGTAAAATGGTCCAAAAAGATAATAAATAATTATACATCTTACAAATACAATACATGTAAAAACAAAATACAATTAAAGAACAATATATACACAATAGACGCGGAATAAGAACTACAAAAATACGTAAATAAGATATACATGTACAATTAATATCTTAATTTGTATGATATTATTTTTTACCAAAGCGTCTGTTGAAGTAGATACTATTTCAATATAAACTGAAATAAGTTAACTTGGAAAAATCTAAATAAACAGCAATGTAGTAGATTTTGATAAAAGACAACTATAATGAATGCCTGACTGGTAAGAGATGGTGGGACATGAACGGCAAACAGTGCGCAGAAGTTAAAGAATATTTAAAAGAACCAATGAATATCTTTCTCACATAGAAACATTAACGACAAACAAAACAATTGGACGAGTACAACACAGAACGAGTGACCAGTGTTCACGATATTGCACGGGTGAGCTCGACAATGTACATCAGTGACGGAAATTGTCAAGTTTCACCGATTCATATGCGGTAAAAACTAAACGCAACCAAATAAAAAAAAACGCGCGTGCTTAAACAAAGCTATGGAAAGCCACGTCTGCCACTTACATATAATTTCAAACTGTGATACATGCATACATTTCATGCATATATTTTATCAATATATATAATGGATATAAGTCCAAAACTAATTAAAGATCAATATATGCAACAAATTATATGCATGCATTTGTTGCGTTTTATTCCATCTAAATTTTAATTTAACATATATTGCTATTGTTGAAATTATTTGTAAACGGTGGTATTTGTCCCAAAACACCAATATAAAACCTTCTTTTTCACTGCTTGTCAGAATATTTTCCCGTGGATTTTGATAAGGAGAGTCAAACGTTTTACAATACTTACAAATTGTCTCAGATCCATTCGACCTCTGACCTGTGACCACGTGTCGTTAAAGTTACACGTGGCATATCTGTAATTGTTGGGATTCTGTGCTAGACTAGCCATCATCATTGCCATCGGGGACATTGGTGCTATATTATAACAATAAATTCAGATTATTTTATTCGACAAGTCTATTCTTCAACGTATTTTGAATCAAATTGTACTGATAGTACTTTCTATAACAACTACATTGTAAACATATATATGTAGGCTATTTATTGCTATGGGAAAGACAATCTGCCACCAATAGCGGTTTTTGTACAAAATCAATAGAAGTACTCGATTGAACTTTTTTAATATATTTAGGGTCAGTATTAAACAGTTGAAGAGTTTTAGAAAAGAAAGAATATTTGCATTACTATTATTACTAATCATCGTTGTTTTCTTACGTGAGTTTATTTTCTTAGAATGGAACGCAGAAAGAACTTGTAACAGGTGTCAGACAATTTGCAAACACTTTTAAAATATATGAGAAATACAAGTAAAGGTACTTAGATTCCATACGTGATAGTGGTCGCAGTGGTCCAAGAGGCCCAAACATTGATCCGCCTCCTGGTCCGAATGTTGGCCTGCCAGGGAAAGGTCCTCCAAACGGAGGTCCAAACCCGCTGGTACCCACACCGGGTTGTGGCGGGGTCTGCACACTACCAGGTGTGCCAAATCCAGGACCTTGAAATCCAGGCTGAATGCCCGTCCCTCCTGGTTGAAACTGTCCGGGTTGAAATTGTATCCCGGGTTGGGGCATACCCTGTTGTCCGAAAACCCCTAGTACACAAAAACACACAATTGATATAATTATCCTCATTGTTTTATAATTTATAAAATTTTACAAATTGCTCCAAATATAGTCAAAGAAGTATATGAATAAAATCAAAGACCAAATATTCAAACGTCTTGTGGGAGGAGTTTATTTTTTGACGTTTTCATATTGACAGATGTCAATACGTCAACGTTTGTTTACGGAAGTTTGATTGGAAAAACGTAACGGAACCGGTAAAAATAAATCCGTCAAATTTAAATAAATATGTGTAGTCTAATGGAATGTTAATTAATCATGCATTGCACATGTGAGTAATGAATAAAACTATTTGAGTTATACATCTTTCGACATGTTAAACCAAATGACCGCAAATATTTCAAGGGAGAGTTGACAAGTTTTGACATATTTGAATGGGTTACTAGGTGTCCACTTAACATTAAATGACTTTTGTATAATTGATAATGACAAATTTAGAAATTTGATCTTAATGAGAAATCCGGCACTATTTTGACAACTTAATTAACTAAGTTGATAATATTAACAGTTATGTGTAGATATCTCGTCAACATAACGTATTTTTATTGTTCCGATACGAAACAAAAATACCATCAACATTATATTTTATATCATTTTTATGTATCTTACTTGTGATATATTTTTCTAAATAAGTAGGCTGCTCAGATTAAGATAATTATTGATTTACTGCACATGAAAGATACATGATAGTTAAATTAATACAATACATTCTGATTATTTCAAACAAAACATCTCGAATTAAAAAAAATCAAGATATACTGAAAGAACTTGGGTGGATGTCATTTAATGCACGATGAAATTTTCATATATACAGGTTGTAAATGAAAAATCTAACCCCTTCTTATATATCTGAAATTTTGACTTTTTCCGGCAATGAAATTCAAAATTCAACGTGAATTTATCTGCAATGAGAGCATTTTCCTTATAGTATTTTAAATATAAACAAGAGCAGTAGAGATGTAACATCTTATAAAATATTGCTTGTCAAAAATGTTAATAAAGTTCTTAGTGATTTAGTACGAACATTTAAAATATGAATGATATATTTTGTTCTAGAACATTCTTTAATATCTGCTATATAAATTTACATACATGTATGTAATATCGTATCATGTATCTCACACTTGCCAAAAATATCCATTTACTAGTATAAGTAGTTTGTGTTTTGTCGTTATGTCTGATACTAAAATTTAATATTTTCAACATAATTATTTATTGCATTATAGACCCTGTATCACATAATGACATACCCAAATACTGCGGAAATTACGGCAAAAAAAATACAATGGCTCAAAGATTTGGAATAGAATACCATTTAATATTCGTTCTTCTGACTCTCTGACATCTTAAAAAACAACAAATATATAAACAATATTTTAAACAGATTTTATCAACCCTATGCCAAGTAGACAACGATCATATTTCAATGGCAATGATCTACCACCCATTTTTGCATTACCAGTATACAGTAGACTATTAACAGCTAAAATGAGCGGACTTTAATGAATGTGGAATAAATGTAAAGCTGACATGTATATACCCAATAATCTTCATTCCCTCCTGTTTTACGCAATATTGAACACATAACATACTAGATAAGATGCATTCATGTTTGAATATTCCTCGAATTTCTTTATTACGATTATCTATCTTCATGTGTTACCTTCTTTAAATAAACCTTTAAATAAAGATATAAATATAATAATTTTTTTATCTTCAAACTTGCAGGATGACTTTAGTAGATAAGAAGTTCTATTTTGATCTTTGTCAATGATACACATATATGTAAGCGTGTACGAGTCAATGATACACATATATGTAAGCGTGTACGAGTCAATGATACACATATATGTAAGCGTGTACGAGTCAATGATACACATATATGTAAGCGTGTACGAGTCAATGATACACATATATGTAAGCGTGTACGAGTCAATGATACACATATATGTAAGCGTGTTCGAGAATGAAAGTATATGTATATAAAAATGATAATATAAAAGTTAAAATAATTTTCTTGATTTGCATACCAGGTAGTATCGTCCGTCTAGTTTAAGGTTTTTTTCTTACCGTAATTTAATATCAACTTTTTTTGTATTCAAAGATGTAAAACATTGGACAGTTACTCAATGTCATGAACATATCAAAAAGTTGTTTACCTTTACTTTAGTAGTGATATATTATGTATTGAATAATTGCTGGTTTAATGGGATAAACACAATATGTCATCCTTACATTAAATGTCTAAATTTGTTTACTTGTAAAATGGTCATGCCAAAACAACATATTTACAATTGTTTTTCAGCGACAATGTATTACCAATACCTCCTTCATTATACATTTCGCAAATTTATGATAAAGAAACGAAGATAAACAACATCAGAAGGACGATCAATCTATAAGTTGATTCCAACAACAATGAAACTTAAATGAACTAATGTTCGTACCGCCCAAATCGTCATGCAGCTACATGTGATAAGACAGGTTATTTCCCTTTGACTGTTGATGTTGGAGTGTACACTTTAAATAACGCACAATTTTTCTTTTTTTTTTTTTTAAATTCTTATTACAGGGAAGATTTTAACATATATACATGTAGCAAACATTTTCTTTACGGTTACGCGTTCATGTAACTCACAACAGGCTGCATTGGACAAGTGAAGCAGCAATTTCCGAAGAAAACCAAACAATCAGGTTGAATCGTATTCCATATTCGAGAACTTACTTGGGTCGGTAAAAGGAATTTAAGATGTGTTTACTATTATCTTATTTTTGTAATATTTATTGAACCCTACAACCTGAAAGACAATTAGTTTGGCTTTATTAAAAAATTCTTCCAAGAAGTGACAAGACTAGCATCTTTTTTGCGATTTAAAATTGCTACTTCAGATAGTGAAAGGTAAAGGTCAAGGCCTCTTACCAGTAACTAAATGACTTAGGTAGCTTAATTGGTAATGAGATATACACTTCACAAGAAAACACACGAAAAGGTACTAGTGTCTTAATTTAAAGTGGGTGAGAACTTTCCACCTTCTGATGGTTGTTGAGACCCTGCATGTCCAGCTGTGAAACATACCTGGGGAAAAACATCACAAATATAAAACCATCAACTGTCTAGACATGTTTAAAAACAAGGGTTTTGGGGAGAAAAATAAAACAATGCACATATAAACTGTACTTTCTTTACTAATTGCACATCACAGACAATATCTTCAATAAAATAACAAGACTTCTAAATCCACCTACAACGTTTGTGTCATTACAATATCTTCATGAATCGTTTTTGATACATTTTTGTGTGTTATAAATAATTCTTATAATACATTGTAATATTATCACGCTACATCTTGCTGTTAAATACTACTCATCTTTCTTAAGTCAGATAAGGGTCCATCTGTCCTTCATGCAGGTCGAATATAGACCCGTTGTTACATTCAATATCTTATCATAAACTATCTATGTGTTTAACATACACCAATCATAAAACTGACTTAGATTAATACACAAGGCTCTAATTTACCACTCACTTTAGAAGAAAATTTCAAGTTGAAAGACTTTTAGTTAATAAGTACCTGTCAGTAAAAGCAAACAAAATGCAACAGTTTTTGTAAATTGTTCATACAACATCCAATACAGTTTGTTTAAAACTCTGAATTTTCTCAGCAAATAACACAATTATCCTCATTTTATCTATCATATAACAAAAAAGAAATTAATAATAATCATATTTTAAAATACAAATCTTAGAGGCATTTCAAAAGTTATAATTTAAAACCGAATACTGACCTACCATCAATAATTTTATATATTTAAATTAAAATTGTTTATTAAAGTTAACATGTGGCAATATGTCTGCACATTTAAAAATGTAACGAAAGTTCATTAAAAAAAAAGTAGACATGCGAAACAAAAATGGATCTCAATAGACAATATGACTGAAATAGTTTTTCTTAACTCTTCCAGAACTAGCAGCAAAATAACAGATATAAACATAAGCTAGCCTACACATCTGTGTTGTCAGACCTGACTCAACAATTTTTGGACTTTGATATTGACATCCTTTTATCCAAACAGGGTTGGCTGTTCCTAATTGAAGACAGGACAGGTTTATAACAGGTATTTAGTAAAACAATCATAAAATAATTGACAAATGTTGATAAATATGTTATATATAACACAAATGTTATACTATTTAAATGTATGTTAGTGTAACACTAATGTTATACTAGTTATGTTATGCATAACACAACCATTACACTAATATATGTTTTATATAACAGAAACTAGTATATGTTATATAATTATAACACAACCATTACACTAGAATATGTTATGTATAACACAACACACAACTGTTATACTAATATGTGTTATATATAACACAACTCATGTACTAATAGTCATCAACTTGAAATACATGTAAATCTCTGGTCACAATTGTTCTAAACTATTCAATGACATCAATAATACATTATTATAGTAAATTAATCATAATAAAATAACTTAAAGTACTGAATAATTCTATATACATGGAAGCCTTCATGGGGATTTCAGTACACAATACTTATATATACTTACTGTGTCAAATATTCCAACCAAACAAAAATATTTGTCCAGTAGTGAAGATATTAAGTATTATATGCTATGAACAATAATGGTTGACAAATGTGAAAATGTAACAGTCTGACATTAACAAGGTAACACAATTTTGTTTAAGTATTCTACAATAAATACATACTCATACTGATTTTCAAGCTTTGTAGTTCTTTGGATGCTAGAATATGTTCACATCTTTATTACAGAATATCAGCACAACTGAACAATAAACTATGGCGGTAAACAACATAAATGCAGTATCTATTGACACCTTTTTTTAGAATGTTTGCAACCTTACAAATTCCCACTTATGTGCATACAAGGTACAATACCAATATTCAATATATGTTACACAACTCTTGCATAACTATGAACATGTTAGAACAAAGTTGTCCCCCTTCATATTAATGTTTGCACAGCTAAAATATCTAGTGCTGAAAGCATGGTGCCATGGCTCATTCAATGAAAATACATATATGCTTTAACAAAAACAATATTGGTCCCAACAGTACATATAAAATGGAAAAAAAGCTCACAAGTGAAAATAGTTCACATCACAACCTACTATACATGTATATATATATATAGCATGGAAAATTTGCTTATTTTCTGTATCTGTAATAATATTTTCAACCAATAGTTTTCACAATGTATTCCAAAAAATATTTATTTTCAAAGACATTTAGAATAAAATAATGTCAAAAGGAAAGTGTAATTATAACCTGAGTAAGACAGTAACTTCATTCTAGCCGCCAGGCAAATACAGAAAACCTTGTCCTAATATGTGTCAGTCTATTTATGCATCATTTAATACTATTTTATTTGAGCAGTATATTTTTCTGTAAGTTGTTTGACATAAAACTAAACGATTAGGTAAAAGTTCCTGAAACTCACAATTATTTTGTCAGCCTATGGTGTTTGATGAAAGATCATGAAGTATATTAATTAATCAAAGTGTTAGAGTGGGCATAACCATTGTGCTATACTGACAAATGTGCTTTCATCTGTAAGAAGGATACTCTTCAATAATGAGATTATTATAGCATACAGCAGCAGTTAAGTCCCACGAGATAACTGAAATGTTATTAGAAGAGAGACATCCATCAAAAGACTTAATGTAGTGTAAAACTTCCAGCTGTGTATTATATAAAACAATTTTGTGAAATTGAATTACGGATTAAAACAATCTATATTATATGAAAGGACGTATGACAGGATACTTCTGTTTGTTCACATCTTATATCTACTAGTCCTTTTGGTTTGTTTTTTACCAAACTTACATCTCAAACATATTGTAATGTAAAAGTTTTTTTTTTTCAATATTATCATTTTATTTTAATTTTATGTGTTATACAGCATTCAACATGTTAAACTAGGGATGCTATTGGAAACAAGTACAGTGTACTGTTCTCCTCAAAATATAGTATGTGGTTCATTACACTGAAAATAACAATAATGAATTATTACTAACCAAATATACTTTCTTGTTTCACTTTTAACCCTGTCAAATATATGCCACTAAACATGATGAATATTAGCAGAACCCAGTTGGTCAAAAAAACAATTTGTTTTAGATACTACTTTTGTTAAATGGCCAACCTTGACCTAAAAAGTGATAGGGGTCATCATGACCAACCTTACATACAAATCTGATATCTCAAGGTCAAAGGCTTTTACCTAGTTTTTGATCACACAAACTTTTGTGGTCAAGGTCATTGTCACTATGACATTTGACCGAATGACTTCTAAATATAAAGGATTAATCCATCTCCATTTCATTAAATTGTGTTTTAGTTATTGATCAGACATGGTCAGGTTAACAGACAGAGGAATAGATCCCTTGAAGGGCCAAACTAATGAGTACTGAAGTGGTTACCCTAGAATTAACTGTTAGCCAATTCAGTAACCATGTGTTGGTGCAGACCAACCAATATGTGAAAGCATTACACTCCATTTCTTTGAAGGGAGGACAAAATAACAGATATTTCACAAACGTTAACATTTAAATTAATAATGTGGTTGGTAGAGAAAGAATAATACTTCAAACAATGAGGTAAAAATAAGAATGTAGCTGTTAACAAGTGACTTATTCACCTTCATTTTTGAATTTGAATTAAAAACAAAACAATTGGACAATTTTTGTGTTTTAATGGTAAACAAAGATGCCTGGTATTCAAGTGTTTATAGTTATACACAAGTTGGCACATAAGTAGGACCAGTATTCGTTAATCTGCCTGCTGCACACAATTGAATCTCCCCATGTAACCAATGCAGACCAAGATCTGCCTGCTGCACACAATTGAATCTCCCCATGTAACCAATGCAGACCAAGATCTGCCTGCTGCACACAATTGAATCTCCCCATGTAACCAATGCAGACCAAGATCTGCCTGCTGCACACAATTGAATCTCCCCATGTAACCAATGCAGACCAAGATCTGCCTGCTGCACACAATTGAATCTCCCCATGTAACCAATGCAGACCAAAATCTGCCTGCTGCAGACAATTGAATCTCCCCATGTAACCAGTGCAGACCAAGATCTGCCTGCTGCAGACAATTGAATCTCCCCATGTAACCAGTGCAGACCAAGATCTGCCTGCTGAAGACAATTGAATCTCCCCATGTAACCAATGCAGACCAAGATCTGCCTGCTGCAGACAATTGAATCTCCCCATGTTACCAATGCAGACCAAGATCAGTGTTGTTTTGTCCAGATTGAAAGATGTGAAAATCCATTCAGGTATTAAGCTAAGGGTTAAAGGAACTCCACTGAGGTTATGTCAAATATTTTTTTCCTAGATCTGTGTACCAACTGAAGTAGGTCAGAAGCAATAACTTGTGTGCAAATTTTCAAGTCATTCCCACACATTGTCTTTCTAGAATAAGACTTGTAAATTTAAATATTTTAAGGCTTTGGATCTCAGTGCAGTTCCTTTAAGCTTGCTTGACTAATGCATATCACAGAATTCACCTGTATAAGTATCAAATTTCTTGTGTAATTTGATTCTATGTCAACTATATCTCAAATAACTAATATCTGTTACACCAGGTCATATATTTAATTTGTACCTACTTTATGTTTTTATGGAACAATAGGAATACCATTTCAAATTTAATTTGAAATATACAAGATTTGATAAATGATAAAAACAAACTTAAGCAATAATGTAATCTTATATTTAATACCACTAATCCTTGTACAAACTGTTGTTTTATTTATAATAACTGAATAATTTAAATGTCTACATATCATAATATACACAAGATTTTTTTATATGTACCCTGGGCTGAAAACTTTTTAATTTTAACTGGCATATCTTTACATGTTTTGAAACATATACATGATTTATCATATAACTGGCTTTAAACATAATAAAATGTATTTCGGTTAACATGACTGTGTCTTTCTTACAATTTTAAAAGTAAGTTGAACATAGACAAATAAACTGTTAACAATAATAAGTCCCGGAAAGATCACAGATCATGGAAAATGATTAAGACAACCATTGTAGCGCAGAAATCTTTTGATATTGATGAATCCTGTCTTCATTTATGGTAAAACTAAAATATAGATTTCAAGGGCCACATTTTCTTACAAAGAACAAGTCAGCATTGTATACAGTAACAATAATCTGTGTAGTAAATTAACATCAGCCATACACACCCTTACAAAATAATACTACTTGATGAACAATAATAACATAACCATTGTGAAACAATACTAAAGATGTTTAGGCCAAAATAAAATTATATCAAATATAATCATAGACTGATTCAATAACAAGAATGGTGGATACATGTACAATGTACATGTTGTATTGTATATGAAATTGGGATATTTTCATGTAGTAACAAATTTAATATAGAATATAGCAATGATTAAACTACATATTGCACTTTTAAACAAACCATGTTACAATAATCAATTACTGGTTCATGATTACACATTAATGAAGCGTGAGTGAGCAGGTACCTTGTTTGTTTCTATTTCCCCTCTCAATAGTGCAAAGCCAAAAAGAAGCTTTAATTTGATAAAAACTATATTGAATTCATAATTGTGATGTTTAAGCACTTTTATCAAAGCTAGGTGCTTTTACAAAACTTGATAAAAAAAATGTATTCATGTTTCATTATTCACTTTATATATATGTACAAGTTTACTAAGAATAAAATAATCAACTCAGTGAATAGTTTTATGATGAAGGATTTAACAATTTTCACAGTTTATGATAACACATCAGTCTGATTTGGCAATGTAAATAGAGAACATTGGTCCAGCATGATACACATTGTTTCAAATCTATCTAATGAACCTTTCTCTGTACATGAAGCTGCAAGAATCAGAATGTATAAATAATAAATACAGTCTGTAAGTCAAAACTACCAGTCTTATACTTCCTTAACAATGAACACAAATGATGTAACTATATTGTGATGTCTCTAAGAGTGTTATTTACAGATATTTCAGATTGCTTTTTTATAAATATTTCATTTAACATTTAAGTTATTTCAGTACAAGATATAAAATTTATTTAGTTTTACTATCCAGCTCTAAAGTTTGCCATTCATCATCATCCCCATCAGCCCAGACATCATTGTCCCAACCAGAGTTATTTGCTCCTGTTTCTATATTATTACTCTCATTTATGTCCAAATCTAAAAGATTTCCTACTAATGGATCTTTTCGCTTTTTAGAAGAATGTTTATTGGAAGATGTGTCAATGCCCCAGTCTTCAACATTCCATCCGTCAGAATCACTTTTTGTTTTTAAACTTTCTTTCTTTTTCATATTTTGACTAGATTTTAACGATTTTTTATCTTTTCCGTCAATCTCTCCCCAATCATCCCAATTGTCCTCATTATTACTATTTTTAGATTGTTTATGTTTGGAAGACCTTGACCCGCCCTCTTCATCATCATTGAGCCAGTCCTCTAGCTCCTGATCGTCACCGTTCTCATCAGCGTTATTCCATCCTGAATTTTTATCATCCGACCAACCTCCCCAATCATCTTCATCCTTCAACAGTTTATTCTGGCTAGGATCACTAAAATAACATAAATAAATCAACATTACAGTAAGTAAATTAACATTACAGTAAAAGAAAAATAATATCAATAAATTAACACAACACAGAAAATTGAACATATGTCTGGCTAGAAAATATTTTTATTATTCAAAAATTAAGCTACTAAACATATTCATTTTAGTTTGATTGTGAGCTATTTAGAATCACTGTTAATCTCAGTTCCAGTTTACATTCAAATGTGGACACAGTTGTGACCAAGTAAGGCTCACACCCTTGTTCCGTGGGTTAAGGTACAGCCTTCTTTCTCTCCCTTATAACAACAACATATATGGTAATAACAAGTTTCTAGGTAACTAAGCAACAAAGTATCATATAAAAAGTAACCAGTCCAGTGAGAGTATCATGTTATATTGTTTAACAACTGTTAGATTCACTTCCTTGTAAAATGATGGATGAAAGATCAAAGTCTTAAAACACAATAACAGCAACAACATTAAAGCTTAAAATCATTAAACACAGTTACCGTATAGCAACAAAATTAAAAGTTCTACACTTATTTATTATACATAATTGAACATTCATAAAAGATATTACTACAGCTGACTTTACAGGACAAAGGTATAATTATAATCTATAGTTTCCTGACCAAAACCTTGATTAATACATCGTAAATCATTATATATCATTATTTCTCCCTGCTTTGTAATCAGTATTTGTCTAAAAATACGAAATTATCATAGGAAACCAATTATTGACCAGAATTTCTATAAAATGTTATCTATATAAATCATAGGAAAAAAATATGGTGGGTTGCACAAAAGGAAAATTGATGAGAGTCTATTTTCTATTTTCAAACTAACAAAATTTATGTTTGTAAGACATATAAGATCCTCATAACTATGTTTTTGAATTGCTTTATATACTGTTATATGAACTGCCTTTGAGTGCCACTGTTTTTGTTTTTGTCTTATAGCAGAGATCTGCAAAGAATTTGAAAGTGCTGGACCTTGGGCCGCCTTAATCTGAAAATAATGGCCTGTTTTGTAAAAAGTATGGGCCCTTGGAAGACAATGTAAACATCTTTGATTTATTTAGCAACAATATTTTATAACTACCTCTGATGGGTTGGTGTTCCACCTCCTAGAAGTGATGATTTCTCCCCGGGGCTTGTGTCTACAGATCTCAATGTCGTCTTTGGCTCTCCCCATAGACTCTGCAGGTTACCCCAGCCTTTGGCCCCCACGCTGGAGAGCTAAAATAGCAAAATATATAATGTACACATGATAAATCTGAACAGACAATCTAGACAGAATGATTTAAGTATTTCAAAACATTCAGCAATTGTCAAAACAGCTAACCCTTGCATCAAATTAGCACTTCTAAATTTGTATAATAGACCTATCATTATGGTATTACAAATGTATTAGCAATTCAAAGGACTTCAATACTGCTGGTGGTCAAATAACTTGGTGAGGTATACATGTACATGTGCAGCATGATTTACACAACAGCATATAGTTGATTTGACAAACTAACATCTGTCTAATTAAAACATCTGCTAATGTCAAGTTGATTGGATAATGTTATAACAGTCTATCTAAATCTGAACATAAATCTATATTTATTTAATAAAATAAAGAAAGTGTGAGATTAAATAAAGTTTGTATCTAACAATGACTGACAACTACAGTAGTTTCTAGACTGATATTTTTACTCGGCTACAAAACAAAAATCAAATTTCCAAATCAAAACAGACACTCCTCTTACGCCATCTTTTGTTTTCAAGGAACTTGACAGTTTTCCAATAGAGAAATTGTCAGAAGGGAAAACCAAGAAACACAAGACATGTACTTCAGATTAACCTTGTGTTTCATGTTAAAACTGTAGTGTAAAGACTGCAGAGATTTAATGATGGAGAAAGACTTCAAGTAGAACCAGGGAGTGGAACCAGAGAGATTCTTTAATATCTGCTATATAAATTTACATACATGTATGTAATATCGTATCATGTATCTCACACTTGCCAAAAATGTCTATATACTATAAATATACATATACTAGTATAAGTATTTTGTGTTTTGTCGTTATGTCTGATACTAAAATTGAATATTTTCAACATAATTATTTATTGCATTTCCGACTTTCCATTATAGACCCTGTATCACATAATGACATACCCAAATACTGCGGAAATTACGGCAAAAAAATACAATGGCTCAAAGATTTGGAATAGAATACCATTTAATATTCGTTCTTCTGACTCTCTGACATCTTAAAAAACAACAAATATATAAACAATATGTTAAACAGATTTTATCAACCCTATGCCAAGTAGACAACGATCATATTTCAATGGCAATGATCTTCCACCCATTTTTGCATTACCAGTATACAGTAGACTATTAACAGCTAAAATGAGCGGACTTTAATGAAAAAAGCTGACATGTATATACCCAATAATCTTTATTCCCTCCTGTTTTACGCAATATTGAACACATAACATACTAGATAAGATGCATTCATGTTTGAATATTCCTCGAATTTCTTTATTACGATTATCTATCTTCATGTGTTACCTTCTTTAAATAAACCTTTAAATAAAGATATAAATATAATATTTTTTTTATCTTCAAACTTACAGGATGACTTTAGTAGATAAGAAGTTCTATTTTGATCTTTGTCAATGATACACATATATGTTAGCGTGTACGAGAATGAAAGTAAATGTATATAAAAATGATAATATAAAAGTTAAAATAATTTTCTTGATTTGCATACCAGGTAGTATCGTCCGTCTAGTTTAAGGTTATTTTCTTACCGTAATTTGATATCAACTTTTTTTGTATTCAAAGATGTAAAACATTGGACAGTTACTCAATGTCATGAACTTATCAAAAAGTTGTTTACCTTTATTTTAGTAGTGATCTATTATGTATTGAATAATTGCTGGTTTTGTGGGATAAACACAATATGTCATCCTTACATTAAATGTCTAAATTTGTTTACTTGTAAAATGGTCATGCCAAAACAACATATTTACAATTGTTTTTCAGCGACGATGTATTACCAATACCTCCTTCATTATACATTTCGCAAATCTATGATAAAGAAACGAAGATAAACAACATCAGAAGGACGATCAATCTATAAGTTGATTCCAACAACAATGAAACTTAAATGAACTAATGTTCGTACCGCCAAAATCGTCATGCAGCTACATGTGATAAGACAGGTTATTTCCCTTTGACTGTTGATGTTGGAGTGTACACTTTAAATAACGCACAATTTTTCTTCTTTTTTTTAAATTCTTATTACAGGGAAGATTTTAACATATATACATGTAACAAACATTTTCTTTACGGGTACGCGTTCATGTAACTCACAACAGGCTGCATTGGACAAGTGAAGCAGCCATTTCCGAAGAAAACCAAACAATCAGGTTGAATCGTATTCCATACTCGAGAACTTACTTGGGTCGGTAAAAGGAATTTAAGATGTGTTTACTATTATCTTATTTTTGTAATATTTATTGAACCCTACAACCTGAAAGACAATTAGTTTGGCTTTATTAAAAAATTCTTCCAAGAAGTGACAAGACTAGCATCTTTTTTGTGATTTAAAATTGCTACTTCAGACAGTGAAAGGTAAAGGTCAAGGCCTCTTACCAGTAACTAAATGACTTAGGTAGCTTAATTGGTAACGAGATATACACTTCACAAGAAAACACAAGAAAAGGTACTAGTGTCTTAATTTAAAGTGGGTGAGAACTTTCCACCTTGTGATGGTTGTTGAGACCCTGCATGTCCAGCTGTGAAACATACCTGGGGAAAAACATCATAAATATAAAACCATCAACTTTCTAGACATGTTTAAAAACAAGGGTTTTGGGGAGAAAAATAAAACAATGCACATATAAACTGTACTTTCTTTACTAATTGCACATCACAGACAATATCTTCAATAAAATAACAAGACTTCTAAATCCACCTACAACTTTTGTGTCATTACAATATCTTCATGAATCGTTTTTGATACATTTTTGTGTGTTATAAATAATTCTTATAATACATTGTAATATTATCATGCTACATCTTGCTGTTAAATACTACTCATCTTTCTTAAGTCAGATAAGGGTCCATCTGTCCTTCATGCAGGTAGAATATAGACCCGTTGTTACATTCAATATCTTATCATAAACTATCTATGTGTTTAACATACACCAATCATAAAACTGACTTAGATGAATACACAAGGCTCTAATTTACCACTCACTTTAGAAGAAAATTTCAAGTTGAAAGACTTTTAGTTAATAAGTACCTGTCAGTAAAAGCAAACAAAATGCAACAGTTTTTGTAAATTGTTCATACAACATCCAATACAGTTTGTTTAAAACTCTGAATTTCTCAGCAAATAACACAATTATCCTCATTTTATCTATCATATAAAAAAAAGAAATTAATAATAATCATATTTTAAAATACAAATCTTAGAGGCATTTCAAAAGTTATAATTTAAAATCGAATACTGACCTACCATCAATAATTTTATATATTTAAATTAAAATTGTTTATTAAAGTTAACATGTGGCAATATGTCTGCACATTTAAAAATGTAACGAAAGTTCATTAAAAAAAAGTAGACATGCGAAACAAAAATGGATCTCAATAGACAATATGACTGAAATAGTTTTTCTTAACTCTTCCAGAACTAGCAGCAAAATAACAGATATAAACATAAGCTAGCCTACACATCTGTGTTGTCAGACCTGACTCAACAATTTTTGGACTTTGATATTGACATCCTTTTTATCCAAACAGGGTTGGCTGTTCCTAATTGAAGACAGGACAGGTTTATAAACAGGTATTTAGTAAAACAATCATAAAATAATTGACAAATGTTGATAAATATGTTATATATAACAACAAATGTTATACTATTTAAATGTATGTTAGTGTAACACTAATGTTATACTAGTAATGTTATGCATAACACAACCATTACACTAATATATGTTTTATATAACAGAAACTAGTATATGTTATATAATTATAACACAACCATTACACTAGAATAAGTTATGTATAACACAACACACAACTGTTATACTAATATATGTTATATATAACACAACTCATGTACTAATAGTCATCAACTTGAAATACATGTAAATCTCTGCTCACAATTGTTCTAAACTATTCAATGACATCAATAATACATTATTATAGTAAATTAATCATAATAAAATAACTTACAGTACTGAATAATTCTATATACATGGAAGCCTTCATGGGGATTTCAGTACATAATACTTATATATACTTACTTCTGTGTCAAATATTCCAACCAAACAAAAATATTTGTCCAGTAGTGAAGATATTAAGTATTATATGCTATGAACAATAATGGTTGACAAATGTGAAAATGTAACAGTCTGACATTAACAAGGTAACACAATTTTGTTTAAGTATTCTACAATAAATACATACTCATACTGATTTTCAAGCTTTGTAGTTCTTTGGATGCTAGAATATGTTCACATCTTTATTACAGAATATCAGCACAACTGAACATTAAACAACATAAATGCAGTATTTATTGACACCTTTTTTTAGAATGTTTGCAACCTTACAAATTCCCACTTATGTGCATACAAGGTACAATACCAATATTCAATATATGTTACACAACTCTTGCATAACTATGAACATGTTAGAACAAAGTTGTCCCCCTTCATATTAATGTTTGCACAGCTAAAATATCTAGTGCTGAAAGCATGGTGCCATGGCTCATTCAATGAAAATACATATATGCTTTAACAAAAACAATATTGGTCCCAACAGTACATATAAAATAGAAAAAAAGCTCACAAGTGAAAATAGTTCAAATCACAACCTACTATACATGTATATATATATATATAGCATGGAAAATTTGCTTATTTTCTGTATCTGTAATAATATTTTCAACCAATAGTTTTCACAATGTATTCCAAAAAATATTTATTTTTTGTTTGTTTTGGGTTTTACTTCACATCGACACAGTATAGGTCATATCGCGACGTTCCAGCTTTACTGGTGGATGAAGACCTCAGGTGCCCTTCCGTGCATTATTTCAGGCACGAACGGGTACCTGAGTAGAACCACCGACGTTCCGTAAGCTAGCTGGATAGCTTCCTCACATGAAAGAATCCAAAGTTCCTGTCGGGATTCGAACCCACAGAGGTGAGGGGCAAGTGGTTTGAAGTCAACGACC